AATGTGTTAGATTCGGCTCAGCCATTAAGGGGTTAACGGTCTCTGTCGCAATGTGTTACATTTGGTTCAGCCATTAAGGGGTTAACGGTCTTTGTCACAATGTGTTACATTTGGCTCAGGCATTAAGGGGTTAACGGTCTGTTAGAATGTGTTACATTTGGCTCAGCCATTAAGGGGTTAACGGTCTCTGTCAGAATGTTACATTCGGCTCAGCCATTAAGGGGTTAACGGTCTCTGTTAGAATGTGTTACATTTGGCTCAGCCATTAAGGGGTTAACGGTCTCTGTCAGAATGTTACATTCGGCTCAGCCATTAAGGGGTTAACGGTGTCTGTCGCAATGTGTTAGATTCGGCTCAGCCATTAAGGGGTTAACGGTGTCTGTCGCAATGTGTTAGATTCGGCTCAGCCATTAAGGGGTTAACGGTCTCTGTCAGAATGTGTTACATTTGGCTCAGCCATTAAGGGGTTAACGGTCTTTGTCACAATGTGTTACATTTGGCTCAGCCATTAAGGGGTTAACGGTCTCTGTCGCAATGTGTTACATTTGGCTCAGCCATTAAGGGGTTAACGGTCTCTGTCGCAATGTGTTACATTTGGCTCAGCCATTAAGGGGTTAACGGTCTGTTAGAATGTGTTACATTTGGCTCAGCCATTAAGGGGTTAACGGTCTCTGTCGCAATGTGTTACATTTGGCTCAGCCATTAAGGGGTTAACGGTGTCTGTCGCAATGTGTTAGATTCGGCTCAGCCATTAAGGGGTTAACGGTCTCTGTTAGAATGTGTTACATTTGGCTCAGCCATTAAGGGGTTAACGGTCTCTGTTAGAATGTGTTACATTTGGCTCAGCCATTAAGGGGTTAACGGTCTCTGTTAGAATGTGTCCGCTGTTTACTGAATGCCTTCTCTGGATCTGTCACTCAGGGCTTCACGCATTGAATCTCGGGATTTGTAGTCCAGCGTGCAGGGACTGAACTACCCTCTCCACGCAGAGTTGGCCTGTTCCTCTCCCACACTTCGCCTCTCTATGGTTACTGTGACCGCTCTGGCCCTCGGTTATCCCTCTCTATGGTTTCGGAGACGCTCTGTCCGCTCGCTTCCCGTCTCGCTGGTTCCCGTATTTCCGGTCTCTGGTACTCGGCCTGTTGCTGTCTGTGTTCGCGCCTGTCGCCCTCTGGATTATCGCGACAGGGAACTCGGCGAGCGGCACGATGTCCTATAACTACGTAGTGACCGCTCAGAAACCCACGGCCGTCAATGCCTGCGTGACAGGTATCGCAACTATCACAACTATCGCGATATCGTCCGCCCAGCGACAGAGAATACAATATCACAGAATATAGAATGTGCCCAGACACAGGAGAGAGAGAGAGAGAGCACAGAATATAGAATGTGCCCAGACACAGGAGAGAGAGAGAGAGAGAGCACAGAATATAGAATGTACTTGACACAGGAGAGAGAGAAGCACAGAATATAGAATGTGCCCAACACAGGAGAGAGAGAGAGCACAGAATATAGAATGTGCCCAGACACAGGAGAGAGAGAGAGCACAAGTAAGTGTGCCCAGACACAGGAAGAGAGAGAAGCACAGAATATAGAATGTGCCCAGACACAGGAGAGAGAGAGAGAGCACAGAATATAGAATGTGCCCAGACACAGGAGAGAGAGAGAGAGAGAGAGAGCACAGAATATAGAATGTGCCCAGACACAGGAGAGAGAGAGAGAGCACAGAATATAGAATGTGCCCAGACACAGGAGAGAGAGAGAGAGAGCACAGAATATAGAATGTGCCCAGACACAGGAGAGAGGCATAGAATGTGCCCAGAGACAGGAGAGAGCACAGAATATAGAATGTGCCCAGACACAGGAGAGAGCACAGAATATAGAATGTGCCTTATAATTCAACTCTTTTGGGGTGTGTGTGTAGATGTGACAAAAGCATCTTCGTCACATCTACACAGTCACTGGTGTTTGGAGCGGACTGCTTGCCAACCTCTTGCCCCAGGACTATGGCCCATGTATTAGACTGGGATACAGACTGGAGAAAGGGCTTTTGTTCGTGTCTTTTTCCCCCAGTTCAGTCAGGGACAGACAAATGCATTGTGCCTATGGTGTTCGTTTATACGAACAGCCGGACCACACACAAGTGGAGTGTCCTCCCCCATTTACCTCCCAGGTGCTGTGGTTAACTGCAGCTAATTGACGAACGGCTGAGTGGTCGCCGTTCGTATAGTCGAACACGTGGCGGCGGCCATCTTGTTTAGTCGAACTCTTCTCTTTTTGAGATTTGTGTGTGTGTGTGTGTGTGTGTATATATATATATATATATATATATATATATATATAATATACATACATAATGTGTGTATATATAATAACTGCTGGCAGCCAGGCAGGCATTGGTTAATAATAATAATGTAATATCTCCATATTATGTATAACTGTTGGCAGCCAGGAAGGGGTTAATATATATATATATATATATATATCTCTGACAAGGAGGCAGGGGTTAATATAATATATAATGTAATATCTCTATATAATGTATAACTGCTGGCAGCCATGCAGACAGGGGTTAATATAATGTAATATCTCTATATAGACTAAAAGCTCGTTTGAGCAGGGTCCTCTTCAACCTATTGTTCCTGTAAGTTTTCTTGTAATTGTCCTATTTATAGTTAAATCCCTCCCTCTTATAATATTGCAAAGCGCTACGGAATCTGTTGGCGCTATATAAATGGTAATAATAATATATAAGGTATAACTGCTGGCAGCGAGGCAGGCAGGGGTTAATATATATATAATGTAATATCTCTATATAATGTACCTAGAGCTGTCAGCACAGAAATATATAAAGTATACATGCAGGCAGGAAGGGGTTAATATAATATCTCTAAATAATGTATAACTGGAGGCCGGTAGGGGTTAATATATCTCTATAATGTATAACTGGAGGCAGGCAGGGGTTAATATAATATATAACTGCAGGTGCGGTTAATATAAAATATTTCTATATAATATATAACTGCAGGCAAGAGTTAATATGATATCTCTATACAATGCATAACTGGAGGCAGGAGTTAATATAATATACATATTTACATCTTACCCCAACGTAATATAGGTGTGCAATGTGTACATTGGGTAATATTCTCTATATAGGTCAGTTCTTGCTTTGGAAGCATGCATGATTAAAAGAGTCATTTATAACCTATTGTTCAGTGCTGCAGAATTTGTTGGCGCTTTATTAATAATAATAATTAGACTGATGGGTCTCTGCCATTTTATATTTCCTTCAGCAACACGCACTCCATTCAGGTCCAAAGTAGCTACTGGGGTCCAAAAACCAAACCTCTATGCACCAAAATAACTTTTGTATAAATCGTGTCCGTGCAGTCTCACTACTTAATTCTCTGCCATGAAGGAGTTTTAGAAGCATCCCTAGCCAGTCCTCTCCTGCTTGAGACTCACAACAGCCAACGTAAAAACAATCATCATCAGAGAGTGTTTATTAGACGTGTGCATAAATCTTTCAGCGGTGTTGAACATATCAAATGCCTAGCACACTATGGACAAAGGAATTGATGGGAAAATCTGCACTAATCGAGGCGTTTGTCCGTAGAATAACAAGCAGTTTGCACTAGAATTTGGAAAGTTCTGCTCTTGGTGCTATAATGTGGGGTGAATCCTATTTTGGCTTCAGTTCCTCAGATTTAGAAATTTCTGCTCATAACGGCGTGTGGTCGGCTGGCTGCCTGGCTAAAGGGAGAGCATTTGCGAGTGGTCGGCCAGCCAGCTGATTGAGAGCGTGGGGTGTGCGCACTGGGAGGAGGCTTCTGGAAGATTGAGGCAGACGGGCAGGCACACGAGGGAGCCTTAACCTCCCTGCTCTGCTCCCACGTGCGTCCTCCAGTGATGCCGACTGCTGGAGTATGACGTCATTCTGGCCCCGGCATCACTAAACAGCGCTCTATGGAGCAGAGCAAGGAGATGCCTGAAGCCCAACTGGACCCCAGGGAAAGCCGAACCACTCCAGCTCCATGTAGGGAGGCTTGGTGGTCACCTTAATGTGTTGTTATTGCAGTGAGTGAGTGAGTGTATGTTTAGGTGACTGGTCCCCCTCCAATCACATGGGTAAGGGGTTTTTACTCACCCCCCCACCCCCCTGCTGTGCTGGCCTCTCTGCAGCTGGCCCTGCCTTCATAATTGCGATCATCAATCTTGATTATCTCAGCCAATCCAATGCTTCCCCATAGGAAGGGAGGCTATTGAACATGTGTGTCAAAACGCCACGCTGCGCCAGTCAGCATCTCCTCATAGAGATGAATTCAATGAATGCATCTCTATGGAGAACATTCATGGAGACACTAAACTTAGGTGCTGCATACTGTGCAGCACTGACCCAGGATGCACTCTGGAGGCCATCTGAGTGACTTTCATTAGAAGCGTTACTAGGCAACAATGTAAATACTGCCTTTTTCACTGAAAAGGCAGAGTTTACATTGAAAAGTGTGGAGGGACAGGTTCTAGACACGAGAACAACTGCATTAAGCTGTATACCATACATTAAGCTGTAGTGGTTCTGGTGACTATAGTGTCCCTTTAAGAATTGTATTTTTGACATGGAAAATCTGGCTCCTAGATTCTAAGCAAATTGTCAAGCCCTGCCCTAATGGCTTTTTTTTTTATTTTATTTTTTTTATATGGATGCAAGTTATAGTCATTGTAAGCTATATATAGAGCAGTAATATGTTTAAAATTATATGAGGAAGTAACATAATTACAGAATACAGACCAGTTTCACAGATGTTTAATAAATCTGTTCAAGGCACAATAACCACTACAACCCAGATAAGCTGTCAAACCAGTATAAAATGGAGGACGCTAAGGCGCTCCTGGTGCCAGTACAATAGTGAGTTGTGATTGTTATGATATGTGGAGTGTTCCTTTAACCTCTAAGACCGGAGGGCGTACAATTACGCCCTATTTTAGGCGGCTCTAAACGCCGCCGGGCGTAATTGTACGCCCTCCGGACTTTCTTTACTTACCCGGTCGCCGGTGGTCCCACGCCGGCGATCGCGGTGGGGGGGACTCCCAGGGAGCCCCCCGCGGCACGTCCGACCCCCTGGCAGCCCTCCTGGCCATGTGAGAGTGAGGTCCTTGCGAGGACCTCACAATCACATGGCTGGGTAGGCTGCCTGCTGCATTGCCAGCCGGGGGACTGCCTGTAATGACAGGTGGTCCCCCATGCTGGCTGAAAATAAAAATAAAATAAATTAAGTGTAAAAAATAAATATATACTTAGATCAAATATATAGATGTGTTATTTCGTTCTAACTGTATTGTGATATTAATATATGATATCGCCAGTAAAAGTGCAGTTTTTTGCATTTTTCATGCACAAACAGCACTTACACGGACGATATTATTGCTGTGATACTTTTTGCTGTTTTGAAACACAAATATTTGTGTTCAGCGAAGTCTCCAGAGTACAACAGTACCCCTCATGTACAGGTTTTATGGTGTTTTCAAAAGTTACAGCGTCCAATATAAGGCTTGCGTTTCATTTTTTTCACATTAAAATTCGCCAGATTGGTTACGGTGCCTTTGAGACCCTATGGTAGCCCAAGAATGAAAATTACCCCTATGATGGCATACCGTTTGCAATAGTAGACAACTCAAGGTATTGCAAATGGGGTATGTCAAGTCTTTTTTAGTAGCCACTTAGTCACAAACACTGGCCAAGATTGGCGTTTTTTTGCATTTTTCACACAAATAAAGACTAACGCTAACTTTGGCCAGTGTTTGTGACCAAATGGCTACTAAAAAAGACTGGACATACCCCATTTGCAATACCTTGGGTTGTCTACTATTGCAAATGGTATGCCATTATGGGTGTAAATTTCATTCCTGGGCTACTATAAAGTCCCAAAGGCAACGTAACCAATCTGGCGAATTTCAATTTCAAATGTAACATGCTATATTTGACCATGTAACTTCCCAAAACGCCATAAAACCTGTACATAGGGGGTACTGTTTTACATGTGAGACTTTGCTGAATAGAAATATGTGTATTTTGTTGCAGTAAAAGCAAACAGTATTATGACATTGACAGTTAAAATGTCACGTAGAACTAAAAAAATCGTATTTTCGCCAATTTTTTTCATATTAAATAGTTTCATAGCTAAATATTTGATATTAAATGAAAGCCCTGTTTCCCCTGAATAAAATGATATATAATAACGGTGGGTGTATTTACTATGAAAGAGGTGAATTATGGTTGGACAGACATGTAGCGCAAATGTCAGGTTTTGTTTACATTTTGTTTCGTTCACAACGTGTACATTTGGCTCCGTCCTTAAGGGGTTAAGGAAGAATTTGATGATCCAGTGTCCAAGATGTTGTGGCTCTGTCACTGAATCCACTGTAACTATATGTTAATCATTTAAATCTGTCTATAGTACAGGTCAAAGTTCAGCAATCAGTCTACAGGCGGCAAGGAAAGTACAAGCTAGAAGCTTATTTTGATGCTGGCTTGAAAATTAGAAATATCTAAAGATCAGCCTGGCAAGTTACCTAAAGACCCTACGCAATCCATGCTGTTTAGGGAGTTTTCAATATTAATAATGGGTGCCACAACCCACCTCTCGAACAGCATGCCTTCTATAATCATACAGGTGTTAGATACCACATCAGCATGGCTTGCACTTTATACAGTGTACACATAGAAATGGAAGAATGTGGCTTACCAGATGTTTACTTTGTTAGAGAGTAAGCGGGGAGTAAAATGAGAGCAATTTGTCACCTATCTGTAATAGCCCCCCGAGTTGGCATGCTTTTTCAAAAGAATTATAGATTTTAAAAGCCTCTCCACTTATATCATGATTTAACACATTTAGATTGCCCTTTTAACACTTCAAATACCCCCCTTTTTTTTGTTTACAATAAAACCTAAGCTTCATGTGGTCATACACATTTTCAAGTTGAAATAAGAAATTCTAAGTATTAATAATGGGTCACTTTAAGCAACATAGCCACTAAAGTTTAATGTAAATTCCTTTTGTATTCTTGCCCAAATGTAAGAGTACAAATATGAAGAGGCTCCTGGTAGGTGATGCTGCCAACGGCTTAAGAGACCGAAAACAGCAGTAACAAGAAGGGAGAGAATCACGAACCATGCCATCTTGGTTGAAATCCTTCCAAAAATACCATTTAAAGAACCCCTGTAAGTGACACTATCTCTTTAAACCCGTCAGGCCATAATAACAAGGGGTTTTATTAACATGGGCTTTTATTTATATAGAGCCCCCCCAGCACACTGGAGCCACCAAAAACATCAGTTATTTGGAAATGTTAATTTTGTGCAATCAATGTAGATGAAGACAAGGCAGTCCCTCTGCATCAGGAAGAGCCACGTTTATACCAAACTGGCCATAAGCGGTTTGATATTAAACTGGGGAGTGACAAGGCACTCTGGGTAACTAAGCTAATCCTGCTTGCTGTATTGGTTATGCTCTGTATTGCGCCATTCTAACATACCTCTCTATATGTAGAGCAGGTTTGTGAATGATCTGTTACCTATTAGATGCCATTAAATTATGCTGGTTTAAAAAACATCTTTGCTTTGATTTGGCTTTAGAACAGTCCATGATTTGCTCTAAGGCTTGCTGTCAATGTCGTTTTCCAGATTCCTTCCTACTAAAACAGGTTGAAGAATTGTTTTGACCTTTGAGCAGATCCTGATAGCTTGCTTGTTGTAGAGGAAAGTGTACGTAACGTTTTCCCTTACCACTGATTTTGTAGTTTGGATAAATACGGTTCTGCATTTATACAGTATACATACTCTGAGTAGGCATACAGTGTTCTAACAGAATATGCCGGAGTTCTTATTAGAGTGCTGCCTACACGCCTCACATCAGTAGAGCATACTGGGGTCAGTGGATGAGATGCTATCACATTCAGAAAATCACAGTTTCTGTTTAGCCCCTTGTCCAGTGACAGTCGCAGCTTGTTTGATAATACACCGTACTTGGAACACGTGTACATTATTTGATGATAAGCATATCCTTGTTGAGTAGATTTAAACTTACATTGCATGGCTTGTCCTGGGCCAAACATGTGACGTGGACAAATGTAGAAAAATGGTCCAATCACCGGATAGAGGGGGTGGGAAATAAAAAATGAGAACTTGGAGAAACACTGTTTACTTGTTCTGATACTCTAGTCTTAAAAGATCCTATTCCAAAATTGAATGCGCTGGCTAAAATGCTATTGGTCCTTGAGGATTTGTGAGAAGTTTAATTTCTTTTTCTTTATTTTATGTACAGTAAAGTTATGGGAATGTTTTTGGTTTTCTAAATTATTTTATTTTTAGTTATTACCGGGGCTAGTCAGAGGCTTAGTGATAAGATCAAGCTCATAATCCAGAATAAGAAAGATATAACTAGTTTGGGAACAATAACTATAAGTAAACCTACTAAAAGTGAAGTGGGATTCCAATCCGGGGTCATCCAGATCAAAATAGAGCCAATCATTGAGGGTCTGACTGCAGGTGTGGCAATCGCAGAGCTAAATTAGTAGCATAGTAGTACTAGTACTGCTTCTCTATTGAAAAACGTAAAGGCACCCAGATCACTTCTTTTCAGTGAAGTTGTCTGGGTGCAGTACCCCTTTGATTTTTGCCCTGCAATGCAAAACATTGCCGTTTTAGCAGATATGGCAAAGTTTTTATGGCAGAGCTAAGCAGATTGGTTGTGGTTGTCTTTCTGATCTGTAGTGGGTTTGGTGCTTGGAGTGACATTTTGAGGAACTGATATAAAGTATGTACACATAATAGGAAACTGGGAAAGTACAGTGGAGCACACATGTGGTGTTGGTATTGGAGGCAGCCAGCATTGGCGCCTAGTAAACCCTAGGTAAGAAGTCAAATTGTTTAAAAATCGTTTGTGCTGTAGTGGTTATGGTGCCTGGAGTGTACAAAGCTGTATTCCTTCCACTATAGTGTCCCTCTGCCCTCTAAGCAAATGACCTGATACCTTAATGCTGGCTCTGTCTCCTCCAACATCAGAGCCAAGGGGGAACCTAATTTGCATGTGCAGCGAGTGACGTGTGCTTATTAGGCCTTCGCTATAGGCAAGCATTGAATCAATGTATTCCTCTGAAACTGCAGGATTAGGGGGGCAGGGACAGTGCACCCAGACAACTCAATGAGATGAGGTGGTCTGGGTGCCTATAGTGTCTCTTTATTTGTACTGATTTTACGTGAAATTCTCTGGATTTATCTTTTTCTTCTGGTTTCTATATGTCTGTCAGGCTGTTAGTTTACTAAATAAGAAAGATTTAATGCTTTGGTAGGTGTGTGCAATTTTGATTGGTTGTTGATATTTTACCTTGTTTCCCTGTTTACAACAGACAGTGCTTACATCTTGTATGTATTGCTACACATGTCTACATGTATATGGGCAGCCTGGTTCATTTTATGTGCACTGTACTTCCTCCCACAGGACACTTCACATCTGAAGATGACTTAAATCTTCTCATTGCCAAGAACACACGGCTGGAAATATATGTAGTAACCCCTGAGGGACTGCGACCTGTAAAAGAAGTTGGGATGTATGGGAAGATTGCAGTCATGGAGCTTTTTAGACCCAAGGTAAACATTCTCTCTCTGCCCGTGCCATCATGATATGTCAGTAGTGGCTGTTGTTTTCATTGAAGGCAGTTGGTGGTGTTTTGGGTTTCCTTCGTAATAACGCTGCTGTTTGTAGGCATCTCTTGTTATATGCTGTCTGAATTGCGTAGTGTTGCAAATACTTTGTGGCCATAAATGCAACCTGAAAACACACTCCATTATTAAATATAGTGGCCTGGGTGCAGTGGCTCTGCCGTTTTTAAAGGGAAACTCTAGTGCCGGGCACCCCACCCTCGGCACAAGCTCAGCTCCGCCCACACTCTCTGTATGCTGCAATGTTTAAAATTAGTCTAGTGCTTTTTCACTGATGTTTATTGAATTTGAAATGGTAATTTGTGGTCATCAGTGGTATTTATTTTTCTTCAACATTCAGGGAGAAAGCAAAGACCTGCTGTTTGTGCTGACAGCCAAATATAATGCTTGTATCTTGGAATACAAACAGACTGGAGACAGTATCGATATCATCACCAGAGCACATGGCAATGTACAGGTACTGGGCCAGCAATCTATTGTTTCTCTAATAGAGAAAGAGGTGGCAGTGGTTTTTGTTTTGTTTTCCAATCTTATGACTGCAGAATGAACTGACAATGACCAATCCTGCCTCAAAAATAGCCATCAAATCAGAATGCATATCTCCTGATGCAGACACTGGGGAGTTTATTATAATATATTCATATTTGTGTTTCTCCAATTTATATGCTAGGATCGCATTGGTCGCCCATCTGAAACAGGCATCATTGGTATTATTGACCCAGACTGCCGCATGATCGGGCTGCGTCTTTATGATGGGCTGTTCAAAGTGATTCCTCTGGAGAGAGAGAACAAAGAGCTGAAGGCCTTTAACATCCGTTTGGAGGAGCTGCATGTCATTGATGTTAAGTTCCTGTATAGTTGCCAAGCTCCCACAATCTGTTTTGTATATCAGGACCCCCAAGGACGCCATGTTAAAACCTATGAAGTCTCCCTGAGGGAAAAGGAGTTCAGTAAAGGGCCTTGGAAACAAGAAAACGTGGAGGCTGAAGCATCTATGGTGATTGCAGGTATATTCACATTCTGCCTGTGCAAACAATTACTGTGAATGAATCTATGTTTGCATGTGAATGAATGTAAAATCAGGACTTACAATTTCGAGTCTTATGATACTAGCCAGGCTTCAAAAGTTACTCACCATGGAAAGCCAAGAGGATCTTGGGGTGAAATGCATTGGCAAATGGCGAGTGTAACTTTTGAGCCCTGTGGATATTTTTATTGTTTGAGTTTATATAGGGCCCAGATATTCTGCAGTGTGTATGATGTAAAAAAGTTAATAAAAGTGCTACATTAACAGGTTGTGTTAACATATGCAGTGTTTCAAATACCATGTTGGAGTTTGTAATGTGTTGGCACTGTCCTATTGATCAAGGCATCTTTCTCAAATGGTGTTGCAATGTTTTGAATGTATGTAATGTTTTTTGAATTATGCGAGGAAGGCTTTGTGTTTTCTTCATATTTCTGATGTTACTTCCTCCCTAGGTATAATCGCTGTCTCCACATTTGTAGATCATAGATATTTCATTCTTTTTAAATATATTTTCTTGCACCTCAAGTAGAACAATACATTTATCACTCCTTTGTTCTATTTTCACAATAGGCAGGGTTTTGTATTTGCTACAGAAGCTATTAAGCATTGTTAAGAGTTACAGTAAACCTTTCATTTCTACTCTATACTTTAGTCCCAGAGCCTTTTGGAGGAGCAATTATCATTGGTCAGGAATCCATTACCTACCACAATGGGGAAAAATACCTTGCAATAGCCCCTCCAATTATCAAGGTAAGCGCATTCAATATCCTAATTTATTGTGATGGATTAAGATGAATATTGCACATTACATTTTGTATAAAATACACTGTGATTTGCGTTTGTAGAATTAATATTTACAGACCCTTCCTTTTCAATCAGCAAAGTACCATTGTTTGCCATAACCGGGTTGATGTGAATGGGTCACGTTATCTGCTGGGGGACATCGAGGGCCGGCTATTCATGCTTTTGTTGGAGAAAGAGGAGCAGATGGATGGGACCGTTACTCTGAAAGATCTTCGAGTAGAGCTGCTTGGGGAGGTAAGAGATGAAGGCCCTGTACTTTTTACTTCCCTTGGTGCAATTGAGGATGGGTGGATTCCCATTATTTCTGCAAAAATAATCTGGTTAATCTTTTAGTAATATATTTATATTGTCTCTATCTCTCTCAGACTTCCATCTCTGAATGTCTAACATACCTTGATAATGGAGTAGTGTTTGTGGGTTCAAGGCTTGGAGACTCTCAGCTAGTGAAGGTAACAAATCATGGATACTCATCAGGAGGGCTCTTCAGAATATCCGGTTTTTATTTTATTTTAGTTGTTTCTTCATAACAGTCGTCGTTCTTTTCATTTCATCTGTGCTACTATAACAATATATCTCCTTTTCCTCCTTCCCCCTCTGTCCTTTCTGAATTATCACCTCAACCTCTACAATACATCTAGGAAAACCATAATATTGAAGCTTTATAAACACCACATTGTAATCTATATGTGTTCATACAGCATTTGTGTTGTTTATCCATATAATCTTGCCTTTGACAGATTGCTATAGGCACTGTGACTGCTTCATCTCATTGGGCTGGCTGTAATATATGGAGTATGCTGGCACCATACTTCCTTAGAATGTTAAACCATTTTAATATTTTAATTCTATAGACAAGTCCCCAGCAGCAGTCCCCTCTGTGCTGCTCAGGGTAATTAGGGAGCATTAGCCTGAACAACAATGTGTCTGTGACTGGTTAATAATAATCAAGGTGATAGCATTCCGCCTATCACAGCGCCCATTGCAGTTATGAATCGATATGGCTACAAGGAAATGTGTAATCTCTGCATTAGCCTTAGCAGCAATGTGTGTCTGTGACTGGTTAATAATCCAGGGGATTGCATTCCGCCTATCACAGCACCCACTCCAGGTATGAATCGATATGGCTACAAGGAAATGTGTAATCTGCATTAGCACCGCCTCCAGCGGGGGCTGGCTGTGGGTAACCAGGAACCCTTATTTGGTGTTAAATTGCTCGTAAATGGTTTAACAATGAATGCTGACTCAGGGGACTCCAGGCACTATAACCAATTCAGTGAGATGATATGGATCTAGTGCCTTCAGTATCTCTTTAATGGCAGCTATGCGAAGTGTCATTCTGGGATTGAGCCATTATTGTTGCAGGCTGTGCATGTTCATCAGAATAAAACTAAAGACAAACTTTAGTTAAGTAAATTCTATAATGCTGTACATGTACTATTAGTGTTGCCTGTAGCGTCTATAGAATTGTAATACATGTCTGTAGCTGACGTCATTAATACTGGTCTAATTTGAACATTTTATGTTTCCTGTAAATGTACATTTTGCACATTGTAATGTAGTAGTTCCATATTTCCGTCTTTCTTTTGTTCCTTCCTTTCTTTCCATTGCTCTCTTTTTGTTTCACATAATAGTATTACATTTCCTTCCTCTTCCTCTGCAGCTTACTGCTGAAAGCAATGAACAGGGATCCTATGTGATGGCTATGGAAACCTTCACTAACCTGGGCCCCATTGTAGACATGTGTGTGGTGGATCTGGAAAGACAGGGGCAAGGGCAGGTGTGGTAAATCTTATTAATTTACAATTTTCTGCATAGTCTCCCATGCAGGCTTCACCAACTTTCTTCTCCCACCTCTTTCACAGCTGGTGACCTGTTCTGGGGCATTTAAGGAGGGTTCTCTACGAATCATTAGGAATGGCATTGGAATCCATGAGCATGCCAGCATTGACTTGCCAGGCATTAAAGGTGATTTGAAAATAGACGTCAGTTGTGGGGGACAGAAAGATGAATACTCCAAATTATGGGATTAAGGAATAGTCCTAATGTAATGAACCATTTGGATTAAATAGGAGATTGCTTAATATGTTCTGGAATATTTTTTTAAAGCTATCATTAATAGTTCGATCAGTTTAAGGAACCCTCTGAGCACCATAACAACTTTCTAAAAATCTCTAACCCGGAAAGCTCTTGCAGAATCAGGCAGTGGCGGAGCTGACACTGACTCATAAAACTGACCCAAAAAGAAACGTAACTCTTTTAAGCCAATTTTGATAATGGGTATTCACAGACTGGCTGAGAGCATCAGCTGACTGTTCTCAGATGATCAGCAGTGCTGCCCTCCGATTCTGTAAGATCTTTCCGTTTAGAGATTTTAGAAAACAAAAGGGCAGAGAGGCCAGGAGATTTACAGCCGGAAAAAAGACTTTGAGGTTAAAACATTCGAGAATGGTTTAACCTCTTAAAGGACCACTATAGTGACAGGAAAACATACTCGTTTTCCTGGCACTATAGTGCCCTGAGGGTGCCCCCACCCTCAGGGTCCCCCTCCCGCCCGGCTCTGGAAGGGGGAAATGGGTAAAAACTTACCTTTTTCCAGCACTGGGCGGAGAGCTCTCCTCCTCCGTTCCTCCTCCTGGGCTGAATGCGCACGCGCGGCAAGAGCTGCGCGCGCATTCAGCCCGTCGCATAGGAAAGCATTTACAATGCTTTCCTATGGACGCTTGCGTGCTCTCACTGTGAAAAATCAATGAGACAGCCACTAGAGGATTAGGGGGAAGGCTTAACCCATTAAGCTGAAGTGGTCTGGGTGCCTAGAGTGGTCCTTTAAGGTGAGCCAGGGACATCCTGGCAGATAACATCATTTTGTTGATGTTGTTAGGGTGTCTAAACTGTTCCTTTAATGTTTATCATTAGTTTTCCATGTAACTGTCTTTATTTACCAGGTCTCTGGCCTCTACGAGTGGCAGCCAACCGTGAGACAGATGACACTCTTGTTTTGTCGTTTGTTGGACAGACTAGGTCAGTACATTTTACCATTTTTTAAATGCCTGTAACTGTCCCTGTCACTTCATATGCTGACGGTCTCTCATTTGCAGAGTCCTGACGCTTTCAGGGGAAGAAGTGGAAGAGACAGACCTTGCTGGTTTTGTAGATGATCAACAGACATTTTTCTGTGGAAATGTGGCCCATCAGCAGCTCATTCAGGTAATCCGGAATATTTAAGGCCTTTCTTGCACTGAACAGTTGTGCTCACTTGTGACTTTACCTTCCAATTCCAGCCATTTCCCAGTCACCTGTGTATTGGGATTATATTCTAAACTCATGCACATATTTCCCTTTTTACATTCATGATGAAGCAGGGATAAACATATATTAATATTAATTGGCCCTGGAATATCAGGTAATGTGATTAAATATGTGCATATAGAGCAGGAAGTATAAATATAGGTTTATGCATTTTAAATAATATGTAATGCCCTTAGCCACTGGTTTTCTTTTTGAAAAATTACTAAGGGCATGGTTCTATCTATTCACATTTTCATGCTTCTGCACTTTCTCTTTTCACAGATCACCTCAGCCTCCGTAAGACTCGTATCCCAGGACCCTCAAAGCTTAGTGAGTGAGTGGAAAGAGCCACAAGGCCGAAAGGTCAGCGTCTGCTCCTGCAACAGCCGCCAGGTGCTACTTGCTGTGGGGAGAGTACTCTATTACCTGGAAATTCACCCTGGGGAGCTGAGACAGATGGGGTAATTGTATACTGCTGAATTTGAAGATAAATGGTGATTGCTTTCAGTGGTATGATTTTATACATATTGATAAATAATGGTTGTCACCATAGTAAATGAGTATATCGTTACTTGTTAATGTTATGAACCTGTTATATGTCACAGCTGCACTGAGATGGAACATGAAGTTGCCTGTTTAGATGTCACCCCACTGGCAGGCGGCGATGCCCTGTCTACTTTGTGCGCCATTGGCCTCTGGACTGATATATCTGCACGAATCCTGAGCCTTCCAAGCTTCCAGCTGCTGCATAAGGAGATGCTGGGTGGAGGTAATGCTTGTTTCTGCAGGCTGAGGTCTTCATCCTCAGAAAAGTTAAATAAAGAATAATGAGCTGTATTTTAATGATTGTTCCTCTTTTTTCTTTCTCTCTCTAAATTACTTTCTTCTTTTAGAGATCATCCCTCGTTCTATCCTTATGACGTCATTTGAGAGCAGTCACTACCTGCTGTGTGCGCTCGGAGATGGTGCTCTCTTCTATTTTGGTCTCAATACAGAAACAGGTGAGTGTGGCAGTATGAAGGGTTATGTTATATTTTACAGTGACATACATTTATTAATCTCCACTTGGAATTGCATACTCTACCTTCATTTGTAATTATTTCTAAGCTAATTTAAAGGATTGAAGAAGATCTTGCCAATTTAATAAATCACTTGAAATGCAGAAAATCTCACTATTTAGAAACTTTCTAAACCAGTTCTCTTATTTCACATTTTTATTGAAGTACTTTAGAATAGTAAGGGCAAAGGTTGTTGTTTCCTCTTTGCTCTCATGTTGCACCTGTTAGAGACTTACAAGTGTCTCGTTGCAGTAGGGCCATGTTTGTGGATTTTGCGTGACAGTGTCTTTGCTTTAGAGTTTGTATTTTTTCCTTGTGCAGGTCTTCTAAGTGACAGAAAGAAGGTGACTCTGGGAACACAACCCACTGTGCTTAGGACGTTTCGCTCTCTGTCCACAACCAATGTTTTTGCCTGTTCTGATCGACCCACAGTTATCTACAGCAGCAACCACAAGCTGGTCTTCTCCAATGTTAACCTGAAAGAGGTCAATTATATGTGTCCATTAAACTCTGAGGGTTACCCAGACAGGTGAGCCATGATTTGGATTTGGTTAGGTGCATTTGAACCCCTTCAGTTGTGTTATAGATTGCAAAAGAAATAGTTTATCCTTTCATCACACAATTTATTTATTGATTTTAATCTTTTTATTTGTATTATTTATGGATTTTGGCAAACTTAATTTTGACTCCTCCTTTTAACTGACTACTCTTTATAAACATGTAGCAGTAAAGCAAGGGTTGCATAAAGATCTTGGCAAATCACACAAAAATATAATTCAAATGTAAATTCAGATTGGTTATACTTGTTTCTCATTGCAACTGGTCCAATCTTCGATACTCTTACATGTAAATCTCTGAACCTATAGTAATGCCAAGTTTAGCTTTACTTGGAAAAAATGTTCTACTTTGTAGAAAATAGTGGAGGCTTGGCAGACCGGACTCAGGATCTTTATCAATGGACTGTGAAAGGGTAGAAGATACAAAATTTGTTGTAGTTAAACAGAAAGCAGCTGCATCGGTGAGAATGCTCTTTATTAGTTAATGGGTTTCTCCAAGCCAGAGTTGGAGTTACATCATTGGGCTGTCATTAGCCAGCTCAGAACTCGACCCAGAAAGTCTTCCAGTTTAGGGACTGAAATGTTGACATGCACAGTAATGCAGAATTTTGGAAATTTATACCAAGTGCGACATTTCAACTATACCTGTACAAGCTGGCTGTAGTATTAGGCTTCATGATGTCAATGACCTGTTCATACGGTCATTATTTTTTTATTTATTTTTTTGAGGTCATTTTGTGAAATCAGCAAGGCGTACAATGTATCCCGAAACAAAATGGCAAAGTGATTTGTAAATTGCGTGAAGTTGATCAATGTCAGTGACTTATTCAGGACCGAATAAAGAGTAATGCAGCGGATGGGAAAAGAGCCTTGTTTTATTCCACCAAACGTATTGCAGCATTGAGTAAATGCCTTTTTAGCCAGTGTTTATATTTCACTGAAGGTTTAGAAGAAAGGAGAAGACAACATATCTTTCCAGTATTGCTATATAACACATTACACATCAGATAGAAGATCCTAAAGCTGAACAGTCTGCAATGTAAGTTTTATGTTTGTGTAATTGTTACATTTTATTTTAATGTATATTGTTTTCTCCACCCTGCTATCTGACACAGCTTGGCTTTAGCAAATAACAGCACCTTAACTATTGGAACAATTGATGAAATCCAGAAGCTTCACATCCGCACAGTGCCGCTTTTCGAGTCCCCAAGGTATGCATCGGGGAATAGCGAGTGTCCTATAGGGGGGTGTTCCTGGCGTTGGTGTTTCTTAAATCCGTCCTCAGGGACCACTCGCAGTCCTGACTTCAAAGATTATTAACTTGGGGTCCAGTATGGATTTTAATTAAACTTGGACCACTGCTGGTTCTGGGCTGGTTTGAGAGACACCAGAAACAAGAAATCATATTCAAGATTTGACTTGTGTTTTTACTGCAGGAAAATCTGCTACCAGGAAGTTTCCCAGTGCTTTGGAGTGCTGTCCAGCCGTACGGAGGTACAAGATGCAAGTGGAGGTAGCTCTCCTCTGCGGCCTAGTGCCAGCACACAGGTTCGTTTTTCAAACCTTTTTAATCGGCCATTAAAGTAGTGGGTGCAATGATGTCTCAAACATTTACTTTCCCTTTAATGTGAGCAAACCAACAGCATTATTTTTATGTTGCCTATTACTCCATTCGGTTCTGTGTTGATGGCTCTTTCCCTTCGTATTTAACAGGCACTTTCTAGTAGTGTGAGCTGCAGTAAGTTGTTCTCTGGGAGCACATCTCCCCATGAAACATCATTTGGTGAAGAAGTTGAAGTTCACAATCTGCTCATCATTGATCAGCACACGTTTGAGGGTAATTGGGAACAAAGTTAAATTGTTGTAATTTGTGGAAGGTAGATTGGCAGATTTTAAGCAGCGTTCCTATAACCAGTAAAATGTTTCATTTAGGACTGGTTGTGAGAAATGTATTTTAGAATGCTAAATTCACATAAAGCATGACTCTGAACACAGGGCTGTCTCCAGACACTGTGACTCCATTACTCTCCTAACACAGTGACCCTGAACAATGGGGCTCTGTCTTAAGGTATACAAAGAACCTCAACATGGGGTTTTCACTCCAGACACAGTCACTGGATCTTTGTGCAACCCAGAAGCTAAATGAAAACTAGCCATGAGTGCAATTTTCCCCATAAAAAAAATAAATCAAATGTGTTTACCTTTTTTAGCATTGTATGCCAGACAGCCATTGCATAATCTGGCATTCAGTGTATTAGTAAAATGTACAGTACACTTTTTTTATTTTTCAATTTTTTTTATTTATTTATTTTTTACATTTGGGCAGTGGAGTGTCCCTTTAAGTTAAATATAATATGCATGCATGGAACCTCTTTGGAAGATGTTGGTTCCAGTTCCCAGAAGTGCATCAAGACAAGTGTGTTTAAAATCTAACTGCACAGTACAAAAACTCATACAAATGGGGCTGTCTCTGCTGCTTCAATGTAGAAAAATTATTGGGCCATCTCTGGTGGGATCCCGTGACCCAGAATAGGGAAGCTAAAGGTGATTCAGAAAACCAGAGCAATGTTGCTGACTCCTGACACAGTAACTCTGTTCAGTGGGGCACTTCTGACAAACTGTGACCCTAGAAATTGCTGGGTTTTATTCCTGGTGTTTTACAGTCTACTTTCTGGACGTCTTACATCACAGGGAATGTTACTGTGTATAGTGCAGTATCGGCTTTGTGGAATCTTGGTTATTTTTTTCAATCTCATTCTCTGTCAATTGCTCTTTTATTTCTTCTCAGTCTTGCACACACATCAGTTCCTGCAGAATGAATACACTCTGAGTTTGGTGTCCTGCAAGCTCGGGAAGGATCCAAACACATACTTTCTGGTGGGAACGGCCATGGTTTACCCAGATGAGGCAGAGCCAAAACAAGGAAGAATTGTAGTATTCCAGTACTGTGATGGTAAGTGTGATCAGGAGAGATCCAAAGGAAAATGTTTACAGGATTTAGTGCACAAATTTTAAATACTTTTATAGATTCTTATGCATCACTTACCATGGTGTAGGTAAATGTGTATGGACTCATATATCACACTTTGTCATTCTCTTTTAGATTGTAAGTGTTTGGATTGGGTATTTAAACCCCACTGTGTCAGTCTGTTTTCTATGTCCTACATTCATTATTATAGTATTTGCTCACTGAGTACTGCAGATGTAGCTTATCTCCAAATTTAGGGTTTGCATACCCTATGCCCTCTGTAAACATATGGTGTTTTAGAACTAGAAGACAGAATGGGCAACTTGCATGCCTACTTTAAACATTAAACCTACAACCCCTTTGTTTATCACATCACCAAACTGGCCTGGAGTATGAATATTCCTTTTACATGTGAGGTCAGGTTGGTATTACCGTGGTGACATTTTGTTTTTGTACTGTCTCTTCCATAATTTACACAATCGTTTATGCAAATAGTCTTTTTCCACCTTAAATACTATGGCCATAATAAGTAACTGTACATATCCCATTCAGGTAAGCTGCAGACTGTGGCTGAGAAAGAAGTTAAGGGAGCAGTGTACTCTATGGTAGAGTTTAACGGGAAACTGCTGGCCAGCATCAACAGTACGGTAAGCTTGTGGAGTACAAGTGGGATGGAAAATAGGGGCTTCTGCAAGCCATCTGTAATATTTCTTTTTTTGTGTACAGGTGCGACTGTACGAATGGACGGCTGAAAAAGAGCTGCGTACAGAATGCAATCACTACAACAATATCATGGCGCTCTATCTGAAAACTAAGGGTGACTTCATTTTGGTGGGAGACCTGATGCGCTCTGTGTTGCTGCTTGCGTATAAGCCAATGGAAGGAAATTTTGAAGAGGTAGGAAGTGTGAGGAATCTGAGACATAAACTGATTGTATTGCTGCAGTTCAGTAAAACGTAGCGAATAACTGTTGGAACATTACAGAGAATAGAACCAGGACATAATTAAATTGTTTACTTCCCATTGAGCTTTGTTTAATTATTATAACATGTATATGCCCTGATATTTCTTGATTAATGATGATACTGAATCTAACTGCAGATTGCACGAGATTTCAACCCAAACTGGATGAGTGCCGTGGAGATTTTAGATGATGATAACTTCCTGGGAGCTGAAAATGCATTTAATTTATTTGTATGTCAGAAAGACAGGTAATAATTGTGGGTCATTCTGGGGGTTTGCATTGCAGCTTTTCAATTTACCACCCACCCACTGAATCCTTTTTCGATTAGTGCTTAAAGGGCTCTTTTACTTTTAAAATGTCTGCATCACATTATGGTCTGCTATCTTGAAATTCTGAAAGCATTGTTTAAAGGAACACTAAAGTCACCAGAGAATATGCAGTGTTTACATCACTGCCTAGTAACACCTCCAGTGGCAGTCACTCAGAAAGCCACTAGAGGTACTTCCTATTTCAGTGCTGCTTTTATCTCCAATCTAAGGCCGGGACCTGAACATCTAGTCCAACACTACAGTGTTCCTTTAAATATCTTTGAATAAGTGATGCTTTCTTCTATCTTACAGTGGGTTGCTATGTCTGGAGCAATATTTATTATATCATTGAAGTTAAAATCTGTTACAAGTGAAAAATAAATGACATTTTTGTATTGTGATAATTATGGTCTTAAAAATAGCTCAGTTTTGCATCGATTACAATCTCTTTTGTGTAGATGCAAAAATTATTTGTAAAGACTGGATACTCCGATATAAAAAGATTATAATTTATATGTGTTGAAGGAGATTATTAACGGTGTTTTCATTTTTTCCTCCCATTACAAAAATCTTGTTTAGTGCTGCTACGACAGATGAGGAGCGCCAACACCTGCAGGAGGTTGGACTCTTCCACTTGGGTGAATTTGTGAACGTTTTCTGCCATGGATCCCTAGTGATGCAAAATATTGGGGAGACCTCTCCCCCTACCCAGGGTTCAGTTCTCTTTGGGACTGTTAACGGCATGATTGGTGAGACCATCAAGAAGATTTCAGGTTTCCTTTATTTTTATTCTTTTATGTTTTCAGATATTCCTAGCTAACTGTGTTTTTACTTTTAGGCCTTGTGACTTCGGTCTCCGAGAGCTGGTACAACCTCCTCCTAGATGTACAGAACAGACTTAACAAAGTTATCAAAAGTGTTGGCAAAATAGAACACTCTTTATATCCTTTAAATTATGAGAGATTACTATATATCCAAACAGAACACAGAGTAACTAGGGAAACACTTAAAAGCGTTAAAGAAACAATATCTGAAAAACTCCAGGCAGTTATGATCAACTAATATAACATTATTCCATCTTCTTAAAATATACCTCTGGTTTATTCACTTAATTGTGAATTTTAACATTTTGGCTACAACAGATGAAATCATAAAATATCTGACTTTCTTCCAATTTTGCTTTAATGGCCTAAACTTTTAAATCTTCTTTGATTTCCCAGAAATTCACACTTTAGTGCTGTTATGGATAATCTGCAAAAATGCTAACTCTAATTAAGAGGTTAATGTTTGACATAGAAACTCTGACAGGGCAAGGCATTCCACATGCGATCAGGATATATCTACATACATACATATACCATTTAATACGTCTGATATTTTCTGTGTTTCCTGATGAGTTGGCAAATAGTGAGGTATTTAAATAATTACTACTACTCTTGGCAGCTCGTCGCAGAGTAGATTTAATATCATATTTTTCCTGTTATAAGGAAGAAAGTATTACAATTAATGTTATTAAAAGGGTGTGTTTAATAAGGGATTAAAAAGCAGATTAATGCTTCTGATAATCTGGAACAGTGTTAATGTTGAATTACATTAACACGTCTATTGTTTACACTGTAGTCAGGTAATACGAATGAATACTCTTAATATCAAGAGAGCCAGAGTCTTAAACACAAATATGTGTAAACAAAGCAACATTAAACTAGTATCGTACAAACATCTTGTGCATTTGAGTAGCTAAAAAATGTTTTAAATATATTTCTGGCTGAGGACATTACTTGAAAAAAAGCATCATGCAGGACACCAGTAATGTTACCCTATCCCAATCCCATATATATTCTATCATGCAGGAAACCAGTAATGTTACTGCAGCCCAATACCATATATATTCTATCATGCAGGACACCAGTAATGTTACTGCAGCCCAATACCATATATATTCTATCATGCAGGACACCAGTAATGTTACTGCAGCCCAATACCATATATATTCTATCATGCAGGACACCAGTAATGTTACCCTAGCAGCCAATACCATACCATATATATTCTATCATGCAGGACACCAGTAATGTTACTGCAGCCCAATACCATATATATTCTATCATGCAGGACACCAGTAATGTTACTGCAGCCCAATACCATATATATTCTATCATGCAGGACACCAGTAATGTTACCCTAGCCCAATACCATATATATTCTATCATGCAGGACACCAGTAATGTTACTGCAGCCCAATACCATATATATTCTATCATGCAGGACACCAGTAATGTTACTGCAGCCCAATACCATATATATTCTATCATGCAGGACACCAGTAATGTTACCCTAGCCCAATACCATATATATTCTATCATGCAGGACACCAGTAATGTTACTGCAGCCCAATACCATATATATTCTATCATGCAGGACACCAGTAATGTTACTGCAGCCCAATACCATATATATTCTATCATGCAGGACATCAGTAATGTTACCCTAGCCCAATACCATATATATTCTATCATGCAGGACACCAGTAATGTTACCCTCGCCCAATACCATATATATTCTATCATGCAGGACACCAGTAATGTTACTGCAGCCCAATACCATATATATTCTATCATGCAGGACACCAGTAATGTTACTGCAATCCAATCCCATATATATTCTATCAGCACACCTGACTGAAAGTAAAATCTGGCGGTCCTAATTAAAAAAAGTATGGTCTTCCTGCTGTTTTTGATAGTAAAATGCTGCATTCGATGGCTTGAGGGAAAATTAATGGTGTCTATTAGCTGACGTATACTCCTGTAGTTGCTACCTTAACCTGTTATGCCACCTGGAGGTCATTTCACACAGAAAGAAAGACAGAATCAGCCACTGGATTTATTGATGGAGATCTGATTGAAAGTTTTCTAGACATCAGCCGACCAAAGATGCAAGAGGTGGTAGCAAATCTACAGGTGAGATTAATACAGACGATCGTCATAATTGAATATATAAGTTTTAGGTTATCCCATATTAATAATAGTGTAACTCTACCATGCTAGTGTTATGTAAGGATTGTACAAATCACTTCTCTCTACCCTGCAGATTGATGATGGTAGTGGGATGAAGAGAGAAACCACCGTTGACGACTTGATAAAGATAGTTGAAGAGTTGACAAGGATTCACTGATTTTCAGTTGCTTGCTACTCCTCCTGGCTTGGCCTTCCAAAACCTTATACTGAGGGAAGCTACCTCCCTTACGGGACCTTTTGCCAATGAGGCTGATTGTATTACTCACAGCCCAAAGGGACGGTGTTTTCTGCATTGCTGACCTTCGGGCTCTCAAACCTCTTGCTTCCTGAAGGGGTCAATGAATTCTTATCCCTCCCGCAAGCACTAATGTATGGTTGTACAAGTTACCCTTGCCAGACTCCCCTGCTGTCACCCTATAGTCCTAACTGTATTTTATTTTTCCTTAAGAAATATTGTGAAAAGGTGGTCTCTATAGGGGACTTTCTTTATAGCAAGTGGGGGTGGTTTATGACATTGTAAAGCATTCAGGGATAAGGGCCACGTGATTTGTAATTGTGGTTTTTTTTCCCAGACCTCCCTTTATAAAAGGGAAATAGGAAACTTTTTTTTCTGAAGTTTTAGGAAATAAATTAGACTGGAAATGAAAATCCCATAGCTTTTTACTGTCAGACTTTCTGGTGCATAGGAAAAGCCCTGTGACAATGGCGTGTCTACTTCCTGTAATGTGATGTTACATTATGTATCGCCGACCGCATAATCTCTACAACATGCACACTCGCATCACCAAATGTCCATTAAATATTTGAGTTGTTTGGAGACCACCCTAGTATTCACTAAAGTCAGTCGTGCTGCAATATCCCTTGGTTTTGCCCCTGAATGAGCGGTCTTTACTTCAGAAGTTCAGCGCTTACAGAGTTCAATATTCAACAAATCGTAGATTTTAAAAAGGCGTTTGCTTTAGTTGTAGAGACTAAAGATTACTTTCAATTACTCTTTGGAAATTGGGGGAAATGCCCAACAATACAATCTTGATTGCATGGCAATTTTCAGACTCTTACTCACTACCCCTGCAAATAAATCTGGCTCTGTGTCGTAATAAAACAAAACTTACTCTATCAAAATAAAATATATTGCGTCTCTTCACAATGTAAGCATCAAGGGTCAGAATAGCCATAAACTTCAATAAATATGTGCAGTATTTATATTATGGATTGTTATATAGTTTGGGGTTTTTAGAGTCTGGCCTAGAACCGGTGAATATTTATCTCTATCAATAAGTACACCCGAGTTTTAGTAACGTTTTCCTTAATCAATTATGAAGGGAAACTTACATTTTCCACTGCCCATGTTTAGTATCCAAGCAGGATTTTACTATTTAAATACAGTTTGTAACTTAGAAAGTTACAGAGAGCACAAATTCACCTTCTATTATTTCCTTAAAGGGACACTCCAGGCACCCAGACCACTTCTGCCCATTGGAGTGATCTGGGTGCCAACTCCCACTACTCTTAACCCTGCAATTGTAATTATTGCAGTTTTTTATAAACTGCAATAATTACATTGCAGGGTTAACTCCACCTCTAGTGGCTGTCTACTAGACAGTCATTAGAGGGCACTTCCGTGTCCCTAGCATACCGTGCTAGAGCGTCGCTGGACGTCCTCACGCTGTGCGAGGACATCCAGTGTTGCTCATTTTCCCATTGAAAAACATTTTCAATGCTTTCCTATGGGGAGCTCTAAAGTGCATGCGCGGCATTGCCGCCCCAGCCAGTGGGTGGGATCAGTCTCACCCGCTGGCCAACGAAATCACAGGGAGGAGCGGTGGTGGAGGAAGAAGCAGCGACGTGGGATATTGTTGCTGCCTTTGGTAAGTCACTGAAGGGGTTTTCACCCCTTCAGCAACCAGGGATTGGGGGGTGGGAGGGAGAGGGGACCTGCAGTGCCAGGAAAATGGATTGTTTTCCTGGCACTGGAGTTTCCCTTTAAATTCATGGATTTTTTTTTTTTTTTTTAGCATACATTTGAAAATGTCCTATTAAGGTCAATTGTGATTCAATTCAAATGGTTTTGAGCACCTAGGGCTTGTAATTCTTGGTTGTCACTAATAGGTAGGCTACATAAAGCACAATGTAATTTATATAAAATTCACCAGTAAGTGTTCACTTTGGCATTCACATCACTATACAATGTGATTAGAATATTGAAGGTTAAAGCGAATATGTGACATTCGAGATTAATGCACAACCGCACAACTAAATGTTAGTAGCAGGCTGCACTATTGTTTTTGTGAAATATTGTACCATTCTTATTTTTTAATTTCTGTGACACAAAGTACAACTTGTAAATTAACTTAAAGATGTAGCGTTGTACATGCAGGAGCAGATGTAGGCCCAAGCTCGTGTGCATTTATACAGCATTTCTTTGGTAATATTTGAGCATGCACAAGGCATGGGACAAAGTCGCCCTGAACATGAAAGTGCAGCAGAAGTAAGTGCGTTTTAAAATCCCTCCACTGCACCGTTCTCGCCACCTTCCCAATAACTGTTGCAGTAGCATTTAATGGGGTGAGGGACTAAGGGACTGTTCTGCTTTATGACTGCAAATTCCATTACCAGTAGGATCAACTTTTATTTTCTGATTTTCAATAATAATTCGTACCGTCGCTACATTATATACCTCAAAACCAGCAAATGACAAATATGCTTCCTTTCCTAGTATTTTATAGTCTTGCTTGCTTTGGGGTTTTTTTTGTTTTGTTTTTCTTCTTCATCCACATTAATCTTTTAAATAAATAAAACAACTTCAAAAATTCGGTCAGCAACTTAAAACCTTGTGATACATAGCTTGCATCTTGCAGAGTGAGGCTCACAAACCTGAATCCCTAACTGCATCCATACACCAAACATCGTCAGAAAGTGGTCGTTATTTGATGATTACCATGTTACAACTGGAATGAAACAAAAATAAGACAGACTTTTTTTCAGACTTAAATTGGTTGACATTGAAGTCCTTAAAGGGACACTATACTCACCAAAACTTTAGCTTAATGAAGCAGTTTTAGTGTATAGATCATACCCCTACAGTCTGACTGCTCAATTCTCTCCCATTTAGGAGTTAAATCACTTTGTTTCTGTTTATGCAGCCCTAGCCACACCTCCCCTGGCTGTGACTGACACAACCTGCATGAAATGGCTTAATTTTCAATAGCATGTAACTTATGCTTTTATCTCCTGCTCTGTAAACTGAACTTGAATTACATATAGGAGTCTCCTCTAGGGTCTAGCAAGCTATTAACAGAGCAGGATATATGAAATTAAAGGAACACCATAGTTACCAGAACAACTACAGCTTAATGTACGGTGTACAGCTTAATGCAGTTGTTCTGGTGCATATAATTCCCTGCAGGCACTTACTAGGGCTGCAAAGTTATTTAGCTCCTCAATGGCAGACATGAGCATTGAGACTGCAGGCACGTGATCTATACCCCAAAACAGCTTCATTAAGTGAACAACGTTTTAGTGACTAAAGCGTCTTTTCTTTTTGAAATAACAACTGGGTGCTGAGAAAAAATTGGGATGCGTTTCAGCAAAACAGCCGTATCAGGCCAAGGTTTAGTGAATAAGCCCTCTGTACATGTTATGTGCATTTCTGTTTGCTCGTACCTTATTGATCAATTTCTGTGTGCAAACAATACTCTATATCAGTGGTTTACAAACTTTTTAGGTTCAAGGCGCCCTAAGTCGAAACCATTTTCTATATTGTATATATGTACAGTGCTGCGGCATATACTGGGCCCCTAATCTTGGGAGTAGCACTGGTAGAATATTTAAAGAAACAATCCAGGCACAAGAACCATTACATTATGTTGCAGTGGTTATGGTGCCAGTAGTGCCCTCCCAGGGTAAGTAGTCAAACTGTTTAAGAACAGTTTGACAACTTACCTGGGGTCTGCTGGGATAGGGTTTGTAGTGTGTGTGTATTGGTGAGCTATTGTGTGATGTGGGGGTAGGAGGACAAATTAATAAATATATATATTTTTTAATTAAAATAAAAATGATGTCCCCCCTCCCTGCTTACCTTTGCCTTGCAGGGGGGGGAGGAGGTAATTTCCTGCAATCCCTGGTGGTGACAGTGAACTCTAGCAACCTCTAGGAGCTGCTAGAGTTAACTCGGCAATGCTCTGAGCTTGCAAGAGGAGAACACGTCAGAGCTGCAGGTTAGAGCTCCCCCTGGTCCTCTCTCCCTCCCCTGCCGGCTGTCAGCAAAGTGCTAGCGGGCCAGAGAGGGAGATCTCTTATCTCCCCTCTGGTCCTGCAGACTCGGCAGGGGAGAGCACAGTTCCTGGTGCTACCATCATAGCATCGGGAAAATAACTTGCTGCACACAGTTGGGGAACTGCTGCTCTACTAATAATTTAATAAGCATTGAGGTCATTCTTTAAATTGCACTGTGCGTGTCTCTTAAAATCACGGCTTAAAGAAGCTACTTATTAGACTTGGGCACTGCAAAAATATAATAAAAAGATGTGTCCTTGTAGCATAATGTCTGACCCATCCAAAGCCTTTTTTTGCAGGGGGCATCCAGTCCCCCTTCATTTTAATACCCACCTTGATCCTAGCGGTAGGATTGGTGGACAGTAGTATGTCCAAACCATTTGTTATAATGGCCAGAAGGGGGTGGGCATTTGCATAATCACATTCCCAATGATTTTAAACAACCCCCACCTGCTGCCCGCATGTGTGAGGGGAACGATGTCATCTACCCCATCTATCCTATTCTTTTATTGGCCAAACATAAGAGGGGAGAAATGTAGCAATACACTCACAGTATGGTGGATGGATTTATGGGAGGGATTACACATCCTTTATACTAACATGGGGGTCATATTGACAACGATGCTTGTTGAAAATATTGTTGGTATGTGGCTTTAAGCTGTGAAAAGGTTACTATAAACTTGTTATATTTGAGAACATGTGTCTGGATAACAGTTGAATGAAATTACTTTTTAAAGGAAAATTCCTTATGAAAAAACAAAATGCCATGTTCTAATTCTTCTTTTGCTAAACGCAATACACCAAATATTACTATAATTTATAGACTATCTGCTGACATAATAGGAAAGTTGAACATTCGGGATGTCCACTTTTTGTAATAGAACAGTTTGTGCTATGTCTACCCACATCTATGTAAACACACAACTATTAAAGGACCACTCTAGGCACCCAGACCACTTCAGCTTAATGAAGTGGTCTGGGTGCCAGGTCCAGCTAGGCTTAACCCATTCTTTTATAAACATAGCAGTTTCAGAGAAACTGCTATGTTTATGAATGGGTTAAGCCTTCCCCCAATTCCTCTAGCGGTTGTCTCATTGACAGCCGCTAGAGGCGCTTGCGTGATTCTCACTGTGAAAATCACAGTGAGAGCACGCAAGCGTCCATTGGAAAGCATTGATAATGCTTTCCTATGTGACCGGCTGAATGCGTGCACATTCAGCCGCATGGGAGGTTTTTACCCCTTTCCCCCTTCCAGAGCCAGGCGGGAGGGGGACCTTGAGGGTGGGGGCACCCTCAGGGCACTATAGTGCCAGGAAAACGAGTATGTTTTCCTGGCAGTATAGTGGTCCTTTAACCTTGTAATTTATCATTTCATCCCTCAGTTGATTGTGAATTAGGGATTATTCTAGTGTTAATGACCGAATAATCTAAATTGTATTACTTTCTTTACTCAAACCTCCAGCAGCAAAGAAATGGTAACAAAATGAGTAATAAAATAACCAATCACAATACAAATATCGATCACAAAGGGTCCAGAAGCTCCTCCTACTTCCTCGATCCAGCCGCACCAGAAGTCAACCATGTAAACGCAATGACAAGTAAGCGATGTTTCACACTTGAAAACAAAAACAGAGAAACTTGTGAAAGTATGGTATAAAATAACCATTGCAAACAAGTATAATGCAACCAAAATTGTTATTATGCAGGAATGTCAAACATCCTTGAGAGTCAGTACATGTAATTTGATAAAATATAGTAATTACGGTTAGTATAAGGTAATCAAAGTCCATCATAGATTGAGCTGTGAAGATAAACTGTATAGGAAAGAAGGGAGGGAAAGTGGTGGGAAAATAGTCACCTCCTGTCTTTAATAAAATTTAGATTATCACTAGAATAATCCCTCATTTTATGGCAAGACAGGAGGCTTCACATTTGCGATTTTAATGTTGGGAAATAAGTGGGGCTAAAAAGGCATGAGAAGATTGGCTAAAGTAAAAGGTATGGAATGTAGATTCTCTAGACCAGTCGTCAGAGTTTAAAAGATCAGAAAGGGATACTCCTGCTAAAAGGACAGAGGAGGCAGCAGCACCTCAAACCGGATGTGCTCCAAAGGAAGCATCTATTCCAGCAAAGTTGGCAAGCCATTTGATCCAACAAGCAATTGTGGGACAGGACACAGGCTTGTGGGATCGAACATATAAAACTAAGAGGGGACCCGTGGGAGCACGAAGTGGGGTAGTAAGAGAAATATATTGCCGTAAGCAACAAGCCACACAGAGAGAGGACCTATATATGTTTAGAAAACAGAGGATGAATGAGTCTACGGGAAAGAGTTCTACGGGAAATGGAAAAGCGAACGCCTTTGGTGTGAGAAGCCAGTAGCATGAAATTCAAAAGATCTGACATCAGAAACTCTACGAAAAGAGACCAGAAATAGTAGCAAAGCCAGTTTTGCAGAACGTTGTCTATAGGAGAGGTCTGCATTAGAGGGCTGAGCTTCCAAAAAGGAAAAAAACTATTTAGACATTCCAAAATTGGGGATATCGAGGTGCGGGGGGTCTGGCCAGCCTGATACGTAAGAATCTGCAGACTGATGGGTGTCTACCCACGGGAGATTTGTCAACAGGAGAGTGAGCTGTAGAAATAGTGGAGCGAAAAATGTTACTAGTATTGTAAGACTTAGTCAAAGAGTGAAGATAGGGAATTAATAACGGAAACTACAGGTGCTGAAAAAGGATCAACATCCCTTTCCACAAACCAGCTATTCCAGACTTGCCAAGCGGAGAGGTAGGAACGTCGAGTTCCGGGAGCCCATGAATCCCATAATAATCCTCTAGCAGTATTCGAAAGTCCTGACATGCCCCAAGATCCCCTGAAACACTCCAAGCCACCAAGGGTAGATGTGAATGACGATCAGATGGAATTCTCCTGTCGGGCCTCGAAGGAGATCTGGAGATCAAGGAAGGAGCAGGGGATAATTCACTGACAACCCCAAGAGGTTGGGATACCAGGGTTGTGCTCTCCATAGATGAGTGATTATTAGTAGTATTGTCACACCAAGAACTTGTGAGTTTCTGCAGGGTCCGAGGAATGAGAAAAAAAGTGGGGAAAGGCATAAATTGAGGCCCAGGTTGGAGAAATGCATCGACGGCCTGAAATGCTGGGTCTGGAAGTCAGCTGAAAAACTCCCGTCTGGAGATTTAATCGTTTGTATCCCTCCAGTGGCGAGAGAACCAGTCTGCTACCAGATTGTCCTGACCTGGTAGGTATTCCGCCCGAAGTGTGATGTTTCTGTATAGACAAAATTGGTAGAGTTCTTTAGTCAAATCTGAAAGGAGTTTGGAGCAGGAGCCTCCCAAACGATTTACATAGTGGACAGCAGACACATTGTCCATCCATAGAGTCAAGGAGCAATTGTAGGCGTCCTTCGCAAAGCAGCATACTGCGAAGGAGCTGGCAATCCATTTGAGGCAATTTATATGGAGAGTTTGTTCCGAGCGTGTCCAAAGGCCAGGGCCGGACTGGCCCATCGGGATACCAGGAAATTTCACGGTGGGCCGTCGGCACCTGGGGCCGGGCAGACACCTGGGTCTGCTGGCGGCCGCTGGGGGAGCTGTTCTGTGCGCCATCCGGAGTAACTCTGCTCGGTACCGCTGTGGCACCACTAGCTGCCTCATCACTATCGGGTCTGACCCAGCTATCTGCTTGTCTGACTCCCTGTATAGAAGCTGCTTGTCCCAGACAAATCTCTCTCCCTCCCCCCGGGTGAGTCAGTGACAACCTTGTCCCTATATACTTGCAGCATAGGATCAGTTACTACTTCAGCTGCAAATTCATTAGGTGGGGCCCAGGGGACGTCATATTCCAGCCCGGTCTCATTCAGCAGCGCACGTGGGCGGGAGAGCAGAGCCAGCGCAGCTCCTCCAGCGGCCGCCAGTACAAGTCCCCCAGCGGCAGCCAGCAGACCTCCTCCAGCGGCCGCCAGCAGACCTCCTGCAGCAGCCGCCAGCAAACCTCCTCCAGCGGCCGCCAGCAGACCTCCCCCTGGCAGGTATTAGTAATGTGTGTCAGTGTGAGTTTGTCTGTCTGTTATGGTGTCTGTCTGTATGGTGTGTGTGTGTGTGTCTGTCTGTCCGTCATGGGGTGTGTGTGTCTGTCTGTCTGTCATGGGGTGTGTGTGTCTGTCTGTCTGTCTGTCATGGGGTGTGTGTGTGTCTGTCTGTCATTCATGGTGTGTGTGTGTGTGTCTGTCCGCCATGGTGTGTGTGTGTCTATCTGTCCGTCATGGTGTGTGTCTGTCTGTGTCATGGTCTGTCATAGTGTGTGTGTGTGTGTCTGTCATGGGGTGTGTATCTGTCATGGTATATGTGTGTTTCTGTGTCTGTCATGGTGTAAATGTGTGTTTAAAAATAGTGTTTTTGCTCACCTTTTTTCCCCCCACGCAGCGTGCTGGTCTCCCCTCGACTGGCCCTGCCTCTATAGCTGAGATCATCAAGCTTGATGATCTCAGCCAATCCAATGCTTTGCCATAGGATTGGCTGCAAAACGCCACTCCAATCAGCATCTCCTCATAGAGATGCATTGAATCAATGTATCTCTATGGGGAACGTTCAGCACCTACAGAGTGTGGAGGCCCTGAATGTAGGTGCACTAACACAGGAAGCACCTCTAGTGACCGTCTGAGTGACTGTCACTAGCAGTGTCACTTTGAAGCAATGTAAACACTGCCTTTTGTCTGAAAAGTCAGTGTTTACGTTGAAAAGCCTGTAGGGACATGCTATAGACACCAGTACCACCACATTAAGCTGTGTGTGTGCGTCTGCTAGTGAGTGAGCTTGCTTGCATGTGTGTGCCTGCTAGTGAGTGAGCTTGTGTTTTTATGTCAATGAGCTGATGTATATCAGTAAGATTGTTTGTCTATGAGGCTGTGTATCAATGAGCTTGTGTGTGTCATTGATATGTCAGTGAAATTGCCTGTGTCTGCATGTGAGTATGCTTACTGTATAATTAAACGTTTTACCCTGAAAGGACCAATATTTTATATTAGAAAAAGATATATATATATATATATATATATATATTACTCAATCATCTGTCCTGGCAAGACATAGCCTTACATATTACACGCAACAATATATGGCGCAGTGACTTATGGGGCTGAAAGGGCTTCCAGGGCTTCCAGGGCTTCTTTGTATCCCCAGTCCAGCCCTGACCATAATTACAGGGGCTGAAACGGGATCCATGTCCCTAGCCAGCCAGCCCAAGCTTGCCAAGCTGACCCATATGCCCGTCTAGTGCCGGGAGCCCATGCCTCCGCCAGCAGGCATCTAGTAGTTTCCGAAACTCCCTGGATCTCCCAGGGTCCCCTGAAATCCGCCAGGAGCGGGAGGGAACCTTCCAACAGGAGGGGGTAGTAACACCCCAACGGGTCCAGTAGAAGTTCATGGGAGGAGGGCAACAGCCTGGGATAATCTACTGTCATCCTGAGAAGCTGGGGAAACCACAATTGCGTTTCCCAGAATGGGGTCACTAGGACCAGCTCGGCTACGTGTCTGTAGGAGTTAACAAGGGTGCAAGGGATCATGGAGAATGGGGAGAAGGCGTATAGGAGGCCTCCGCTCCGGTCCTGCAGGAAGGCGTCCACTGCCTCCGCCACCGTGTCCGGCCGCCAGCTGAAGAACCGTGGGAGCTGGGTGTTGAGTCGGGATGCGAATAGGTCTATAGCAAAAGGGCCCCAGAAAGACGATAAACTGGAGAACAAGTTCGTTTCCAATTTCCAGTTGCTGGCGTCCGACAGATATAGTGAACCCCAGTCCGCCTGGACGTTGTGTAGTCATGGTAGGTACTGCGCTTGGTCCTTCGTCTCGCTGTCTAGAGCCACGAGGTCCGCGTAGGATGCTCCGGCTCTCAGGTGAGCTATTTTCAGGCGTTGCAGTGCACGGTAATGGAGCGGACCCGGGAACACAGCCTGAATAGAGGATGCGAGGAGGCCGATGAGGCACGCCAGTTGCCTCAAGGTGAGGTGTGGCCGTATGAGAGCTCTGCGGAGCTCCTTGCGTATTGAACGAGTCTTGGACTTCAGAAGGCTCAGAGTGGTGGCTTCCGTATCCACTAGGAATCCCAAGAATTCCATACGAGTAGCGGGAGTCAGGCACGACTTTTCCTGGTTGATGATGAAACCCAGGCGCGAGAGTAGGTTCATCGCCAGCCGCATGTGCGCCAGAAGTCTGGAGCGATCCTGGTCCATGAACAGGATGTTGTCTAAGTATATAATTAGACGAATGCCTCGACTGCGTAGCCAGGCCATAGGTGGGCGCAGCAATTTTGTGAAGCACCATGGTGCTGATGACAGGCCAAAAAGAAGGCAGGTGAACCTCCAAGTCCCTGTCCGCCAACAGAAACACAGGAGTTCTCGGGATGCTTCGGCTATAGGCACAGTGAGATACGCATCCTTGAGATCCAGCTTTACCAACCAGTACCCTGGAAGGAGTAGGTCTCGCAGTAGATGGATACCCTCCATCTTGAAATGGCAGTACCGCACCATAGCATTGAGCGGGCGCAGGTTTATGACTGGGCGCATTTGACCGCCCTTCTTTTCCACTAGGAAAATATTACTTACGACTCCTGTGGAGCCCGGGGGTGCCCGTTCTATCGCTCTCTTGGTGAGGAGCGCAGATAGCTCGTCGATCAACCTGCAATCTTGGAGGGAGAAGCAGATCGGTTGAGGAGGAGGGATACTTACAGGGTTTCCCACAAGGTCTATGTGAAAACCACAAATAGTGTTTAGTACCCAGGGGTCGGAGGTTATCTGTGCCCAGGCTGGGAAAAAATTTTGGAGTCTGCCCCCTACATAAACATGAGAAGAAACATGTGTTATGGGTAAACTCACCATAAGGTCATCTGGAACCGGTGTTACCCCGGAAGCCTCTGGATCGACACTGGCGTCCGCGTGACGGGAAGAATGGGAAGCGGGTACTCGTCTCCTGGAAGTTGGAGCAGTGCTGAAAGGAACCTCGTCCTGAGCCACGGGACTGAAAATAAGACCGGCCCGACAGACGGCTCCTGGATCTGCCGGCCCTGGTGGAGACCCGACCCTGGAATATTCGTCTCATGGAGGCTTGGGCCTTGTCAAGGGCTGTAAACGCACCCACAAAGCGTCCCAGGTCTTTAATGAAGGAGTCGCCAAAAAGTAAAGCTTGGGCGTCCTTCCCAGCCTCTGTGAGGACAAGGTTGGCCAATTTAGGCTCTATTTTGAATAAAATGGCTTTACGCCGTTCAATAGAGAGGGAGGTATTGACACTCCCGGCAATACAAATAGCCCTTTGGACCCAACCACGGAGGTCTTCGGGGTCAACCATACGGTTTTCGGCTCTGGCATCCTCCGCCAGTTAAAAAAGTTTTGCCAGTGGGCCAAATATGTCTAGGTGCTTATCCTGACATGCTTTTAGGGCAGAGTCTAGACCTTTACGTGAGTTCCAGCCCAATTTTGCCAGGAACTGGGTCATTTTTGGGTCAACCTCAGGGGTATCGCAGACCTTATTAGGCACCATAGGCCTCGGGCACTCAGCCCTCAATTTATTACATGCCGCTTTAGTGAGCGGGCGTCGTACCCAATTTTCGAGGTACTTGGATACATGGTCTGCCGGGAGCCACTCCGCCGACCTCGGATGGTGTAGCTCATCCGGGTTGAAGAGAGGTTCGCCAAACGGATCCAAAAGGGCGGACCCCGCGGTTGCGGGGTGAGGCACCCCGTGTCACCTCCGGACGTCTCTGCCTGAGCAGAGGGAAGGAGGTCAAGGCCCAGCTCAGCGGAATCAACGTCGGAGTCATCATCCGATTCAATCATAGCCTCCTCACCAGACCCGATTTCTGAGTCGGAGTCACTCTCGGGTTGTGCTCTGGCACATTTCCATAGCTCTTGAGTGTGTGGAGCACGCTTTCTGGGGCGACCGAAGGTACGCCAGTCTAAGTAGTTCTGGAGGCAGAGGGATGTTTGGTTTTATGGGTCGCCTTCTTGGGTATGTCCCCAGCCGGGTCCACAGCAGGACGTGAGAGAGGTGTCGTGGAACCAGACATTTGCGCGTCCAAAGGACGTGGCAGAAGGGCCTGGGAGATAGTATGGGAGAGGGTAGAGGACATGGATCCCATGGCTGCCATAATGGCATCTGTCACAGAGCGCTGTAGCACTGAGAATTGGTCCCCAGCAGGGTGGATGGGCCTGTCTGTCAGAGTGGGTGGTATGTCTGGGGTGACAGGGGGCTCTCCCATGAATAGTGGAGAATCTATCTCCCCAGAGGGTGGGGAGCTGGAAGGCATCCTGGGTTTGGGCATAATGAAAGATGCACAATATCCCTATTACCTAAGACTATAGAGTAGTAAGGGTTAGTCACCCAAACTATAAGAGCAATGAACAAAAGAGATCTCACCAGGGCCCAGACCAGTGACACACACAACGAGGTAGGAAGAGAGACAGGAAATCAGAAAATGGCCCCCGAGAATCTTGCG